GGGCCCTGCCTGCCGTGTGTGGGTGCTCAGCCCGGGGCAACCTGAAGGCAAGTTGGGCAGTTGCAGACTGCTGTCAACACCATTCATGGAGATAAACTGCCTGGGCCGAAGTCATAGCTCTGCACTGGGCAAGTTTAAGGGAAGCCTTTTTAAGCTCGGTTCCCTAATCTGTGAATACCGGTTGATGAGTCTGCTTTATAGAATTGTGAGGATTAAACGGGATGATGTGTGCAAAGTGCCTGGTAAAAATTGCTGTGAGCTCTCTCCGCCATCTTCATTGATACACGAACTGATACAACATCATGGCTAGGACCTCTCTCAATAACTATTAAACATAAAATGTTGTTGTTGTTGATTGCCATCGAGTTGAGCACAACTCATAGCAACCCTATGAACAAAAAGCCTGAAGCCTTTCTATAAATAACTATCAACATTTATCAAAGTTCATAGAGTTTCCAGAGGGATGTTGTTTAGGAAATGGATGCCACTCCTCCTTCCAAATAAGAATAATAAGAATTAATTTTCAAGAGTTGTAGACTGCTAAGAGAACAAACAGGTCTGTTCTGGAGAGGGTGAAACCAGATCACTTCTTGGAGACAAGAATTTTGAAACTCTGTCTCATGTACTATGGACATGTTTGCAGGAGGGACCAGTCCTTGGAGAAGGATACCATGCTTGGAAGGGTGGAGGTACGGCACAGGAGAGGAAGACCCCAGATGACATGGATTGATACAGTGACTGAGGTATTGGAGGCAGGTGTGTTGTAGGCAGTGAGACTGGCTCAGGATAAAGCAAGTTCAGAGCTACTGTTCATAGGGTCACTGTGAGCCAGAGTTGACGGCATATAAAAACAACAACAGGTACACATAATGATTATTCTGTGCCGGGCAAAGGAGCTCTGGTGGCTGCTAATCAAAAGGTCAGTGGTTTGAATCCACTAGTTGCTCCACAGGGGAAAGATGGACAGTATCCTCCCATAAAGATTTATACCCTCATAAACCCAGTGGAGGGTCACTATGAGTCAGAATTGACTCAGAAGCAATGGGTTTATGTAGCAGTCAGGTCTGGTGGCTCAGTGTTAAAAGGCTCAACTACTGACCTCTAAAAGAAACCTGGAGAAACAGGTCAGTGGCTTAAACCTGCCAGCCAGTCTACTTGAGAAGGATGTGGCAATCGCTTTCTGTGAAGATTTATAGGCTTGGGAATCTTGTGAAACAGTTTTACTCTGATCTACAGGATCCCTTAGTTAGAATCAACTAAGTTGCAGTGAATTTCCTGTGCTAGACACCGAAAGGAAAAAGCAGTTAGCAACACACAAGAATTTCTACTTTTCACAGTGTTTACTTGCATTCTAATTGGGAGAGATAGGTTAAGTAAGAGATGTCAGACGATAATTTGATGGGAAAAACCAAAGCAGAGGGTACAAGAAGAATGCTCACAAAACCCCACCTCATCTTCCTTGTCAGAATCAGCTCAGAGCTGGCCCTGCATTTAGGTTCGGGGACTAGAAACTACATGAGAGGTTGTCATTGTTGTTATGTGCCATCGAGTCGCTTGTGACTCATAGCGACCCTATGTACAACAGCCCTAAACCCTGCTCTATCCTGTGCCAATCTCACTATCTCTGACACATCCACCACAATCACCCCAGCAATTGAAGCAATCCACCTCATAGAGGGCTTTCCTCTCCTGCACTGTCCCTCCACCCTTCCAAGCATGATGTCTCCCTCCAAGGACCAGACCCTCCTTGCAACATGTCCAAAGTATATTAGACGAAGCCCCAGAGTCCTTGCCTCCAAGGAGCAGCCTGGTTTAACCCTCTCCAAGATGAATCTGTTTGTTTTCTTGGCAGTGCATGGTACATTCAATACTCTTCTCCAGCACCACAGCTCAAAGGCATCAATTCTTCTATCCTCCCTTGTCATTGTCCAACTCTCTGATGCATAACAAGTGATTGCAAAGACCATGGCCTGTTATGAGACGCACCTTAGTCTCCAGACTAGTTAGTCTCCAGACTAACTGCTCTTCAGTTCTTTGGAGAGGCCCCTAACAGCAGACTTTACCATCACAATATGTTTTTTGATTTCCTGGCTGCTGGTGCCAAGACTGTTGACTGTGGAGCCAAGCAAACTAAAGCTGTGAACAATCTCTCACCATCCATCCTGATGCTGCCAGTTGGTCCAGTGGTGAGAATCTTTGTCTTCTTGACATTGAGCCTCAATCCACAATGAAGGCTGCAGTCCTTGACCCTCTGTAGCAAGCGCTTCAGGTCCTCCTCAGTTTCAGCAAGCAGGGTTGTGTCATCTGCATAATGCAGATTGTTGATAGATCTTACACCAATCCTGATGCCACATTTCTCCTCATAGAGCCCAGCCTCCTGCATAGTTTGTTCTGCATACAGGTTGAAAAGGTGTATTACCCATTTTTCTCCTGGGAAGTCACTGGAGGATCTGAAGTGCCAGAGAGGCTCAGTGTTTGAGTTAGCTGCACAACGACTACAGATTATGCCAAAAGTAACCTGGAAAGCCCCAGGAAATGAGGTTATGGAGGAATCTGGGGGAAGAACGTCTTTGCAGCTGAGGGAACAAGGCCAGGCCTTGTGGTGAGGATGTGCATCTAGACTCCTAACAGATTTTTTCCTCTTCCCACTTGCTGGTCCTTCCTTGCTGCCAGTTTGGAAACACAAAACTAAAGTGAGTCTAAAATCAAATTCATAAAAGAACACCATAATCTAATTTAAGGGCGCTCTGGTAGCCTAGTGGCAAGAAGCAGCGCTGCAATCCGAGAAGCATGTGGTTCGTAGTCACTAGCTGCTCCGTGGGAGAAGGATGGGCAATCTCCTCCCATGAGATTAACTGTCTCTGGAAACCTGTCAGGAGGTCAGCTATGCATCAATTCTGACACTATGGTACACAGCAACAACAACAGCAACAATTAGCTTATAAGAAACCCACATTTGTGCATATCAACACAACCCAAACATCTGCAACAGATATTCCCAGACCAAAGAAGGGAAAGGACAAGGACAGGAAATGTCTTCCCCTGGATTTTCTACCACAAGATGGCTTCCAGGCAAGGACTTACTGATAAGCATCGTGGCTCCTCAGATAAGGCCCAAGGAGACACACTAATGATACCAAGTTGGCCAGGGAGGCCCCACAGGAAGAAGCAAACTACTCCATGCCTTCAATGCGGCATTTCAGTCCTAACCCAGGGCCTCCAGCCTCCTGGCCTCCCTGGTAACACCCTTGTTTCTCACTGATTTGGCTCCTGTCCTTTAATTACGTTTAGGGTCACTGGAGAATGAGTCACTGGAGAGAATCTACACCCACATCAGGAGGAAAGAAAAGAATGGGCCCACTTTATTATGGACTTTTCCACAAAGACAAGTCATAATAAACATAAAAGCATGTTCTTCCTGAGATTTTGTTCCTTACAAACATGTGCTTTGATCAATTCAAGTTGGATTAAAAATGGAAAGAGAAAATCTATTCTGTAACTGTATGTCAAGGAGTCACCTATTAAAAAAAAATGAAATGGTTATTTCCATTTGGTCTTCACTCTGTAAGGACAGAAATGTAAGTGTAACCAACTGAGATTGAATCCCACAACCAGGATTTTGGAGACCTTTATCTGGACAGCTGGCATTCTGAGGGAAATGTCTATTTCTGGAAAGAGCATTAGTTTTTAAGTATTCCCATTTTTCTTCTCCTCTTTCTGACATTAATACTTGAAGCAACTGTGCCTGGGCTGGATAGGAACTCGTCATTGTGTCTTTTAACTTGGTTTACTTTTTACATTGCTTTATTCCTGGTGGGGCTCTCATGGCACAGTGGTTAAACACTACCTGCTGGCCTGCAAGTTTGTGGCCTGAACCCACCAGCCAGAACCTCGGCAGCAGTGCACCTACAACCTCGGAAACCTCGGAAATCTTGTGGGCCAGTTGTATTTTGTCCCCTGGAGCTACTATGAGTCAGAGGTCAGCTTGACAGCAATGGGTTTTGTGGTTATAACATTGCTATTCCTTTCTCTCCTGGAAAAGAGAGGACATAGTTGGTCCACCAGCCACAAGTGGTAATACTTGATAGGTGTCCATGACAGACAACCCTTGAGATGTTTCTCAGATCATTCACTAGTGTTTGTTGTTAGGTGCCATCAAGCACTACCACGCATGGTGACCCCAGATCTCCCTTGCCTCGTCCTCACCATCTCGGGTATGTTTGAGGGCATTGTGAGTCACTGTGTCAACCCGTGATGAGAGTAAAAAGACAAAAACAAGGCATTTCCACAAAGACAGAAGCTATGTGAAGTGTTCTGAGCTCACAGATCTGTATTTCAGTCCTGTTGCACCACTGAACTAGCTGTGACCTTTGGCAGGGAATCTCCTTAACCTCTCTAACCTGTTTCCTCTCCCAAATGAAATGAGGCCAACAATAAGTCCTTCCTCAGAATTAAGACTGAGGTCGTGCCTGTATGCCTGACACATAGCAAGTGCTTGCTTGTGTTTGTTGTTGCTATTAGTATAAAGTATCAATAGTTATAAAGTGTAATTAAGACTGTTCTTAAAATGTTAACTGGTATGAAGACAGGTGACATATTGTCCAAGTCCATTCATATGAAATATCCAGGGTAGGCATATGATGGAGGCAAAAAAATAGATGGGTAGAGGGTTGCCAGGTGCCTACAATTGGGTGTTGGGAAGCAATCACTTAATGGGTACAGAGTTCTCTTTGGGAGAAATTATACGGAACAAAGCGTGGTGATGTTTGCACAACCTCAAGAATGAGCTAAACTACTACTTAAAATGGGTCAGCAAAAGAGAGGAGGAGCCTCAGGGGGGCGGACTGACCCAGTGAACAGTGAGCGGAAGTGTATCCAAGAGGTGAGGACGGCCCAGGACAGGGACAGAGCTGCTCTTCTTGACTCAACATCATCTAACAACAGCCCACTTCAAAAAATGGTTTTTTAAGGCTGCTTCTCATACTGTTTTCTCTTCACAGTGTGGATCAGCCTCTACTATGTGGGTTTCTACGTGGTGATGACAGGGATCTTCGCGCTGTCCATCTACACGTTAATGTGGACAATCGACCCATACACGCCAGACTATCAGGATCAATTAAAATCGCCAGGTAAATATTAGCCCTGACTTGTCCGGTCCACTATCAAATGCCAGAGAACAGAAGTCCCGGACACTGATGCCCAGGGCAGATCTGCAGCAGCAGCAGAGATGTCTTTCTCTCATTGCCCATCGAGTCAGAACTGATTCACAGCTGACTCTCTGCTGGGTTTCTGAGACTGTAAATTACATGAAAGGAGGTGGCCTCTTTCTTTACCACAGAGCCCTTTATGAATTTGAAGTCCCTTAAAGGCACCTGGTTTAAATCCACCTGCGGCTCCATGGGAGAAGGATGGGCAGTCTCCTCCTGTTTGATTTACTGCCTTAGAAAACCCACTGGAGGGCCAGGGATGGGTCGATTCCGAGTCTATGGTACTCAACAACAGCATAGCTCTCTGTGGACTATGCTACCAGCGTTTCCTGAGCAAGTCCTGAATATACTCACTCAGACAAAATCCTTCCTCCTCAGAACGCAGCCCAGAGAAGACAGAATTTGCTTGTGCCCACAGGCAGCTGGGACAGTGGACAGTGGAGTGACACTGTACACCAATAAAGGGGCTTTGTGCTCATGTTTGCAATGACCCCAGGAGGGGGCCACCTCAGCTGCCTTGGGGAGTAGAAAAGATTCCTAAGTGTGTGGAAGGCCACTCCATTTCTTTCAGTGAAGGAGATGACCCTGAATTATAAAGTCTTATTTTGACTCTAACAGAAGGATTTCTTTGTTACAGATGGGGGTGTGAGGAAATGGGATTTATACTCTCTTAATTTACATGCACATAAAGAATTTCTGAGAAAAGAGACAAAAATACTTTTAACAGAGGATAGACCCAGCCAATTAGGGATGAAGGAATTAGAGGGAAAGAAAGGGGTTCCACTTTCCATGTAATGTCCTTCAGTACTGACTCGCTCTGTTCTGTGGTACTAAATCTCTTTCACAATGATTAGATACAACTCAAAAAACACCCTCTCTAAGACAGACATATTTGTTTTCTTGGTGGTCCATGATATGTTCAAGACTCTTCTCCAGCATTACGACTTGAAGACATTGATTCTTCTTCTATCATCCTTCATCATTGTCCAGGTCTCTGATGAATAGCAAGTATTTGAGAAGACTATGATCTGGTTTGGGTGCACCTTAGTCTCTAGACTGACAGCGTTGCTTCTCGGTGCTCTAGAAAGGTCTCTGACAATAGATTTTCCCAGTGCAATTTGTCTTTTGATTTCCTGGCTGCTGGTGGAAAGAGTGTTGTGAAGCAGAGCAAGCTGTAATTGTTAACAACCTCAATTTCTTCTCCATCTATCATGGTGCTGCCAATTGGCCCAGTGGTGAGAAACTGAGGAAGACAATTTTGAGACTGGACTGAATTACAAAGAACAGAGTCATGTTAGGCTGACTTAATGTACTGTTTCGTTCTGTTATACATAAGGTTGCTAATAGTTGAACTGACTATAAAATCTTAACAATAAAACACGTAAGAAAAAAAAATCAGGAAAAAAATGCAAAAAAACCCCACCCCAAATTCAAAACAGTACATTTTCTTGGTGCCCCAGACACTGTCCCGTAAATGACAAAGGATCCAGAGTAAGTTCAAGGTCAGGCCAATGAGGTCAAGACAATAGACTGAGCATACCTAGGTTCTGGGCTATCCAGCCACCTGCCAGCTCCCCTCACTTGTCCAAAGTCCACAGCAGACCTTTGACTCAAGAGCTTGGCCTTTCAAACACTAGGCCACACAACCATCAGACATGCATGCAATCTGTCTCGACCAAATCCACCCAGTTCTTCATTCACAGATAGAAACCCATGATTAAAGATTCTCAGACAACCTGGGCATGGAATGGAGCAAGAAGAGAAAAACCAAGAAGAACAAGCAACACTGCACATGGAAGTCGTTGATGTTATGTGGCATTGAGTCGACTGAGACTCATAGTAGCCTTGTGAGCAACAGATTGGAACGAAAGATGCAGCATTCGTTGAAGAGGATATGAAAATGTAAATATGTTTTAACTAGCACAGGACATGGAAACAAAAGCAGTCCAAGAAAAGAGATTTAGAAATTAAGACTACAAATGCCAAAAATATTGAGAGATCACGGTAGATTGCTGTTGTTGTTATGTACCATCAAGTTGACTACAACTCATCGTGACCCTGTGAGCGGCAGGTCTGAGTCTTGGCCTGTCCTGTACCATCCCCACCACCTCTGTGACTGAGCAAAGGCTTTCACTGTGTCCTCCTTATGTGTAACATGGTAGATCAGGGATGGCCACAGCCAAGTGGGTGGTCAGGAGTCTGCAGGTGAGCAGAGATCTCAGGACAGAGAGCCAGAAGACAGCACAAGGGACAAAAGTTCAAGCGTTTGCTTACAAATGAAGACAGGAACTCTCAAGAGCCGGGGAGTGCTGAATGGACTATAGACTAGTCAGTCAAGTCACACAACAGAATAGTATGCAACAGTGGCCAAAAAGGTAGAGCAAGCTGATTTGAAGTGACTTGGACAGAGGTTTACAATCGGCACTGATGTCGATGCTGTGAGGTGCTGTCCTGCCAGCTCTAACTCAGAGAGATCATAGTATGATAGGAGGGAACACTGCCTGGCCCAGCACCACCCTCAGAATCTCTGCTGGACTTGAGTGTCCTGTCGTGGTCACTGTGTTACTCTATCCTGCTGAGCTATTGATATAACAAATACATGTACATAATACAGACAATTCAGACATGTCTACATCATTGTATTTATGGAAGCAAAATGTCTTTAAAAGGTGCATACTTAGTTGCTGAGATTGGGGAAATGGATTCCTTTTTCTACTCTTCTGCATTTTTCACTTTTAGAAATGTACAGTGAAAATGTTGCAGAATTGCTTTTGTTCCATACGAAAACCAGTGATGATTTATCAAACGTGCGCTGAAATACAGTTTCATTTAGAAACTCCATTGGACAGTTACCACTGTTAACAACAAAAAGCACAAGTCCAACTGAGGTAAAGCTCAGGCAGGCAAAAGAAAAGGATGTCTTATCTTACAGCTGGACACTGCTCAGCACGAGGCATGACCTGGCAGCTGGAGGGCGGCCCTGCTCTGAGGAAGCGCTGTGCGTGGTCAAGAGGGAACCAAGATAGTCAAGAATCTCCTGTGGACACAGGAGTCACAGAGGACAAGCACCTCATGCTTCTACAAATAACATCTCGAACACACAGTTTTCTCAGTCATTGGATCCCAAACTCTCTCTGGCTCGTGACTATGAATCCCATCATCATCAGCAAAGTTTCGGGAGCCTTTAATCCTTCAGGGACTTCTGATGGTGTAGTACCTGGGGAGGGCACCAACTCAAAGGTCAAGCCTCTCCAGTAGTTGGAATCTAGTAGAAGCTCCACAAGAGAGAAAGCTGGGTGATTTCCTCCTGTTTCATTTACCATCTAGGAGAATTCGCTGGAAGCTCAGCTGTGAGCCAATTATGACTTGATATCAGGAAGAGTTCTTTTAAGCCTTTGGTGGTGGAATTAGCTAACATGCTCAGTTCCTAACCAAAAGGTCAGACGTTTGAGTTCACCAAAATGTACCATGGAAGAAAGGCCTGGGCAACCAACCTGTGGTGCCTACTGTACTCTGACACACACAGGTCCACCATGAATCAGAATCAACTCATCGGTAACCAGTTGAGAGTTTTAGGATTTTCATTGCAAACTGCAATATGGCCTTTTCTCATAGTTTTGCTATCAAGTCTAACTCAATTTTTACCAAGAGAGGAGGGCTGGTTTTCCAGTGTCTGCACATGGAGTTTCCTTCTGGAAATCTGGAAGAGAATTAGAAAAGGTGAGCCCTAAGATCTATGATATCCATGGACACTTACTACAGAACTTTGATCCAAATCATCCAAACTTGTAAAGACAGAACATTTCCATAGTCTATTCATCAGTTTCATAGCAAAATTCTCGGAGAGGGTGGACTTTGGTGAAAACAAAGTAAAAACTGTGATATGCTCCCTTTCCAGGGGTGACTTTAAGGCCAGATGTTTATGGAGAGCGAGGTCTGGAAATCTTCTACAATGTCTCCAATAATCGAACGTGGACAGACCTCACATACACCCTTCACAAGTTCCTGGCAGGTAAGATTTAAAAACAACACCCCCCGCCCCCAAACATCATATGTTTGGTTTGCATTGTCTAAGTTACACTCAGATACTCTGAGATCAAGCCAACTATCCAAAGGCTGGTCTGGATTAAGATCCTGTAGAGTCCAGCGCTGTGAATGAGCACAGCCAAGGATGGTGGTGGTAGACCCAGGGAGTCTGTTCATTTCATTCGTGCCTTTCTGATCTGGGCAGCCTATTCTCCAGCCGCCCAGGCGACCAACAAAAACTGCACTTCGGAGAGCTACTACATCCAGGATAGTTTTGACGCTCCCAACCACACCAAGTACTCCTGCAAGTTCTCTATAGACACGCTGCAGAACTGCTCTGGCTTGACGGATCCCAACTTTGGGTTTGAAGAAGGAAAGCCGTGCTTTATTCTTAAAATGAACAGGGTAAGTATCAAAAGTTCCAGGGTTAGAATTCAAATGTGGAAACTGCAGACAGATTGTGCAACAGTGGGGATTGTGGCGTCTTAACTACTGCACAGATATACGAATTAAAATACACAAACTGGGTTATAGTGTCCCACTCAGCACTTCTAGTAAGTGGCAGAGTGTGTATCTGAACCTTGCCCTATCCTGTGCATAAGCTCTGGCTAGAGCCCAGTGATATGGTTACTATGTCAACAAATCTCATCGGAAGTCTTCCTCTTTTTCTCTGATCTTCCACTTTTCCCAACATAATGATACCACCCCCCCCCCAAAGAATGGTACTATTTCCCAAAGTAGATGAGACAAAGTTTCACTATCTTACTTCTAAAAAGCACCATGGTCGCACTTCCTCAGAGACATGCCTCTTTGCTCTTTTGGCAGGCCAGTACTGTTCTCCCACAAGTAAAAGACCTAGATTTGTCTGGCATCCTTATTAATTGACGAGCTTTCAGATGCATAGGAAGAGAAGGGTATGAAATTCAATGACTTCATCTTACTTGGATCCACAGTCCATATACCCTTGGCACTAATAGTCAGGAGATCAGGAGATGCATTGCTTTGGGCAAGTCAGGGACATCTCCAAAATACTGAAGAGCAATGATGTCAGTTTGAAGACTAAGATATTCCTGATTCAAGCCATGCTCTTTTCAATCACTTGCTATAAATTTGAGAACCGGACAATGAATAAGGATGACAGGAGGAGAAGTGGTGCCTTTGAGTTGTGGTGTTGTAGAAGAGTTCTGAATATGCCACGGACTGCCAAAAGAACAAATAGATATCTTAGAAAAGATGCAGCCAGAGTGCTCTTTGGAAGCAAGGATAACAAAGCTTTGCCTTTCATACTTTGGACATGGTGCTAAGAGAAGTCAATCCTCGGAACAGGATACCATGTTTGGAAAGGTGGAGGGTCAATTTAAGAGAGGAAGACCCCCAACGAGATGGATTGACACAGTGACTCCAGCAATGTCATGAGGTGGTTGTGATACTTGACAGCACTTGACAACATCATACACTTCTCTTCCATTTTTTTCAATGTTAGGCATTGTTTGTGATCCACACAAATGCCTTTGCATAGTCAATAAAACAGCTAAGACATTTTTCTGATACGCTTTCCTTTCAGCCAGGATCCATATGACATAGGGTAGCATCAATCTAGCCATGGGGTATCTGCACGACTCCTGCATTTATTGCAGGTATCCATTCATTTGTTGATATGACATTGGGCTGTTCCTATGAGCACACAGAAGTGGTTTGTGTTTGAATTTTTTTTTTCAAATGTGCAATCTTTTTGTGCCTTGGTTCCATATGTTTTATAGGTAGAAAACTATGATATTGTGATGGTACC